ATATATATATATATATATATATATATGTATGTATATATATATATATATATATATATATATATATATATATCATCAGAAATATATATATATATATATATATATATATATATATATATATATATATATATATATATATATATATATATATATGTATATATATATATATATATATATATATATATATATATTTATATATATGTATATATATATATATATATATATATATATACATATATATATATATATATATATATATATATATATATATATATATATATATATATATATATATATATATATATATATATATATCATCAGAAATATATATATATATATATATTTATATATATATATATATATATATATATATATATATATATATATATATATATATATATATATATATAAATATATATATATATATATATATATATATATATATATATATATATATATATATATATATATATATATATATATATGTATATATATATATATATATATATATATATATATATATATATATATATATATATATATATATATCTGTATCTTAGTTACTGAGTAAGCACACCTGCAGTTTACTATTAATGTATGCTTGTGTTCTGTATGAACCTCTGGCGCAGTGTTCATTCATCTATAAGTTATTATTTTTATGTTAATGTTTCATCTGAACAACTGGTACAGTGTTTAACAACCCATAAAATACTATATGTATAATTGCAATCTTTGTAAATCTTTTATGTTGTGTGATCTCAGTAACCAACTAGTGAATTTAAATATAAAACTTATACTCGCCGTAATTTGTAGTTTTCTGTTTAATATTATGTTTTTTCCGTTGCATTTACATTTCATGCTTTAAAATGTTGCTTACAGAAAGTAGCATCTTTTAATTACTCCTGGTTAAGTCAGGTTCAAGATGTAGAAGCTCTCAGAGAGGCTAATTTCTTCAAAAGCTGTAAAATATCACAGTATTAACAGAGCCATGTTGTGCATGGATTGTGTCCCTCTTTCTGCTAGGTATGGATTTTCATGGCCACATAAGGAAATCTATGTTACACCGTTTTTAATAATTACAACAAATTATTAAACACGAACTTTAGGGATAAGCAGAATAATTCTGTTAATCAGTAGTGCATCTGTTTTCTGTTAGTCTATTACAGATGTAAACCTAGATTACATTGATTCATACCTAGGGTGTTAAATTTTTGATCTTTATGGCTCTACCCATAAATTTTCACTTGTACCTTTTGGATAGTAGCTATGCAGCTATTCCAGTTTTGGATAGTAGCTATGCAGCTGTTCCAGTTATTTTCTAATGACAGCACAGCACTAAAACTCAGTTTAATAGTTTTTAGGCCAGCTGATAGTAAAGTTTTCTTTAACTCTTTTGTAGCTCTCAGAGAGACTTCCATCAATAACTGCAAAACATCGCAAAATTAAGTATTAGCAGTGCCATGTCGCTGATGGATGGTGTACCTGTTAGTGAATTAGGTAAGCATTGTCAAGGCTACGTAAGAAAACCTATATTACAACTTTGGTCTTATTTATCAGGACTAAGGCAACTGTTTAGCTATTAACTTGGGATGCCATGCTCTAACTTAGTTGAGTTAAATTCATTATCATGGCCAAAGTATGGGTTAGTTGGAATAAAATTTTTTGTGAGACGAGTTAAAATAAAAGCTCTTTTTTCTTAGGATCTCAGTATTGAAAATTATTATCCTTGATTTGCAAAGACTTCAATAGTCTTGTGCTTGGCTTGGTCATACACTTATGAATCAGTGTACCTGCTTGCCGAGAAATCAGGTTTGGATTGTCTGACCATTCTTTTACATGCCATCGCTTGCACCACTTCACCCCATCGCCTGTCAATTTGTTCTATATTTTTCTCCTTTATCTCAAGAATAGGTTCTTTCTTTTTATCACTCTACCAATACTTTTGTTTTTGCTGACTTTTCAGTTTGATAATGCTTATCACACTGAATGACTTGGCTCTAACACTAATGAACATACTGGTACTAAAGCCCATAATTTTTGCATTTTTAAATCTCTCAATCAGTTAACTTTGTGTCTCATTTAACTTTGTGACTTGTTTTGTGACTTTAATTATGTGATATGTTTTCCTAACAACCCTAACCACTAACCATTACTCATTAATTGTGTTTTCTATAATTTGTGTTTTATTTTTAACCATAGCTTGTGATCAGTTTCTCCTTGTTCTCTTTTAGGTTAATTAGATCATGCAATAGTATCTAAAAATATTTTAACTCATACTTTGAAGACTATTCATTTTAATCGCACTACTTTCTGCTGCCCTAAAGCTGACTAGGAACTCCTGGATTCAAGCAATATGGAAGCTTCATTTTTTTCTTTTCTGTTCCTCATTTTGTTATCCTGCTTGCTGGAAAATGACATCTGTGGTTTCAATTTAAAAAAAGTCTGAACAACATTCTGAGCATAAAGTCTGAGCCTCTATCATTTGAGATCTTACTGTTTTGGATTGATAGGACTACATTTTTATAAATTTTATAGCTTCTTTAGCATTTTTTTAACCCAGAATATAATATGCCTTCATAATATTTTTTTGAAATTTAAGAAACGTTCCTAGCAACTGCAAACTTAATCTCTGTAGTAAAATAATTAACTCGCCTTATTTTAAAAAAAAAACTTTGCCTCGTTAAATAAAAAGTTGTCTCGTT